AGAGAGAGAGAGGGAGGAGAGAGGAGGGAGAGAGAGAGAGGGAGGAGAGAGAGAGAGAGAGAGGAGGGGAGAGAGAGACTTTTATCTTTGCGTGCAAGTGGCTTTGGGATGCCTTTACATGTATCTCTACATCACTGTCCTTTAATATTCACATTAAAATATAATATCATATTTACTATACTACAGTATACATCAGCTTTAAGGTTTAGATTCATCACATGGGAAAACAAAGCCATCATTGTAGTAGTGGTTGATAATCAATTTAGAGGATATCAGTTATCCATTTCAAACATTTTCTGACAAATTTTCATGAAAGCAATTCCAAATTTCCCATTAATTGCAAAAACCAGCCACTACAGTTAGATAAGTGTTGCCTGATGCATCTGCTGTTTGTGGGCAATTTGAAACAATGATGAAGCATTTCTATTTGCTTTCTCTTTGTCTTTTGTGCAATACCAATATCCAGTGCAACAGGTTAGTGCAGTCATGAAAAAGAAGCAATAACTGAAAGATTCTCAACTAACAGATGAATTAATCTGTGTGGTGAACAGCCAGGTTGAGGCAATGTATTGAGGGAAGCAGGACATGTCTAGGAGGAGGGTGAGCAAAATGGTGAAGCAATTGGGCGTAGAGAGTGGCAGTGGTGTGTCAAGTCTACTTAGACTTCATTAACCCATAGCAAATCCATCATTTATCAGGCAACATTAGCTTTTTTTGTATCATCCAGGTCCCCGTGCTGTTGAAAAACTGCCTTCCAAGCTGTACAAAACAAATTCAAATGAAATATTACAACTCACCATATTTGTCTCCCTTCTTGGATGGTAAATTCACTAGAATCATCTGTATTCCTTTAAAATCTTTCATAATCTTGGCAAAATCCTTTTCTGGTGCATTTCCATCCATGATCTTCACAGGTTCATTCATAATCATTCCTCTCTCTTTTGCCATCTTCAGAAGACTATTCAGAAAGGCCCTGTATAATGTTGCTCAAGATGAATGCATAGCATCACAAATTATCACTCGGTCAAAATATAAGAGCAATAAGGTAAATGTAACATAGTACATGATATACACTCGTTCTGTATATTGTTACTGAAGAGGAATGCATTATAACACAAGATAACTTTTTTTGTAATAGATTGGTAATAAGTATTGTCAACAATAAACACAGGAGACCTACCACACATCCTTTTGGGCTGTAAATTTATCATAATTTATAACAGCCCAGGTTTCTATAGCAGCTCCTTTGAAGAACTCCCTGTTCCATGCTTCCCAAACTCCTTTCTCGGGGAGTACAGTTGCATCTTTCATCTTCAGATTTGGGGCCGGTAAAACTCGACCATTCATTTCAACTGGCTGTAACACAAAATTGGGACAAAAAGTCATTTAGAGACTACACTGTAATGCAGGGAAGAAGACAGACTGAAAAAATTAAAAACAGAAAAGGAGGGGAATGAAGAAATAAAAACACAAGAAATAAATAAAGAAAAAAACATAAATAAAGAGAGAGAGAGAGAGAGAGA